TGCATCAGCCTCAGCCTCAGCCTCAGCCTCAGCCTGCCTCAGCCTCAGCCTCAGCCTGCCTGCCTCAGCCTCAGCCTCAGCCTGCTTCAGCCTCAGCCTCAGTCTGCCTTCAGCCTCGGCCTCAGCCTCAGCCTGCCTCAGCCTCAGCCTGCATCAGCCTCAGCCTCAGCCTCAGCCTGCCTCAGCATCAGCCTGCCTCAGCCTCAGCCTCAGCCTGCCTCAGCCTCAGCTGCTTCAGCCTCAGCCTCAGTCTGCCTTCAGCCTCGGCCTCAGCCTCAGCCTCAGCCTCAGCCTCAGCCTCAGCCTTCAGCCTCAGCCTCAGCCTCAGCCTCAGCCTGCCTCAGCCTCAAGCCTCAGCCTCAGCCTCAGCCTCAGCCTCAGCCTCAGCCTCAGCCTCAGCCTCAGCCTCAGCCTCAGCCTCAGCCTCAGCCTCAGCCTCAGCCTCTCCTCAGCCTCAGCCTCAGCCTCAGCCTCAGCCTCAGCCTCAGCCTCAGCCTCTGCCTCAGCCTCAGCCTCAGCCTCAGCCTCAGCCTCAGCCTGCCTCAGCCTCAGCCCTCAGCCTCAGCCTCAGCCTCAGCCTGCCTCAGCCTCAGCCTCAGCCTGCCTCAGCCTCAGCCTCAGCTCTGCCTTCTGCCTTCAGCCTCGGCCTCAGCCTCAGCCTGCCTCAGCCTCAGCCTGCATCAGCCTCAGCCTCAGCCTCAGCCTGCCTCAGCATCAGCCTGCCTCAGCCTCAGCCTCAGCCTGCCTCAGCCTCAGCCTCAGCCTGCTTCAGCCTCAGCCTCAGTCTCCTTCAGCCTCGGCCTCAGCCTCAGCCTGCCTCAGCCTCAGCCTGCCTCAGCCTCAGCATCAGCCTTCCTCAGCATTCAAAATGTGGCCCGGGAATGGAGTTCTGGGAACTCGAAGAACACGAAGTGGCCTACAGTTGGCTCCGGGCATTCAAAATCATGCCCAGGAATGGAGTTCTGGGAACTCGAAGAACACGAAGTGGCCTACAGTTGGCTCCGGGCATTCAAAATCATGCCCAGGAATGGAGTTCTGGGAACTCGAAGACCACGAAGTGGCCTACAGTTGGCTCCGGGCATTCAAAATCATGCCCAGGAATGGAGTTCTGGGAACTCGAAGAACACGAAGTGGCCTACAGTTGGCTCCGGGCATTCAAAATCATGCCCAGGAATGGAGTTCTGGAAACTCGAAGACCACGAAGTGCGTTACAGTTGGCTAAAAAAGAGTCCCCGGCATCCTCCCCCGGATCGCGCCCAGACCCCCCTGGGGCGTCAAGATGTTCTCTTTTGACCCTACTAGAAACCTATCAGTCGTCGCTGTTAGGTAATATATGTTGCTAGCATATGGTTAAGACATATTTTGTTTAGCTTGTTATGTGCACACCTATATCTATACATGTATAAGCGTTTTTAGTGAGTCAAGAGCCCAACGTGCAAAACGGGAACACAACGCCCAGGGCGTTTTTAAGAAGAACCAAGCCGAACCCTAATCATACAATGGAGACGCGACCTCACTCGGGTCCCCGCCCTCGCATCAGGGATCATACTCCTGGGCGGTCTGGTCTGATACGCCTGCAGAAAAAGACTCCTTCTCCCTAGTGCGTCTGGCCCTCCTCACTCGGGTCCCCTCCCTGGTGCAGCACGCGCGACCTGGCGGCGCGGCCCCGGCGCCGAGACGCGGGCGCCCTTCGGCCGATCCCGCGCGGGCTCCCCGCGCGCGCGCGCAAGCCCGGCGCGCCCCCGCTGGGCGAGCCGAGCCGCGGGCGCCTGGCGCCGCCGCGGCTCCGCGGCGCGGCCTGGGCGGCGGCGGCCAGACGTCGCGGGCTCGAGCCCGGGCGCGCCGCGCGCGCGCGCCGCCGCCGTCCGCGCCGCCGCCAGGCGCGGAGCAACGCCGCTGGCGCCTGGCCGCGAGAGGCCAGGCGCAGGCGGCCGACCCCGCGCTCCTCACGGAGCTGCTCGCTCCGCAGGTAGGGGGCCACAGGCGAACCCTACCCCCTACCCCCCACGATTTCTGAGGGGGAGCGTGGGGGTTCACTTCGCTCGGCAGCTCCCGAGCGAAGCGAACCCCACCCTCCCCCTCAGAAATTGTGGGGGGTAGGGGTAGGGTTCGCATGTGGCCCCCTAGCAGGTGCTCTCGGCCGCGGCGGTGTGGCGTCCCTGCGCCGGCGGAGGCAGAGGAGCTCGTCTGCCTCGCCCGGCCGCGCGCACCCCGTGCCGCCCCCCGAGGGCGGTGCCCGCGGCGCCTTGGAAGGCTTGTGGGCGAGTCGCACTCTGTAGCTCTGGTGGGTGGACAAAAGATGTCCACGCCCATCGCGCCAAGATGATACGACATCGAAGTGCGTCGAACAAATATCCGTAGCCTTACGTCGGGCGTGTCCCCCTACAGGGGGATGTTCGATGAAAAATACAAGATACCCCCCAAAATACCCCCAAAAGGTCAGAAAATACTCATCAAATAGTCCCCAGACTATTTTTGGAGAATTGTTTGACTATTTTTTGGGGTATTTTTCATTTTTCGTCGAAAATCCCCCTGTAGGGGGACAGGCCCGACTTAACCGTAACCCCCACCCCCCCAACCCAAAGTTGACAAGATTAGATACGAGGCAACGCCCAGGGGACAAAATATGGACGTTTCAACTTTGGGTTTGGGGGTGAGGGTGAGGGGGGGCGAGCCACATGTATTCTGCAATTGTCGTTGCCATCATGCCTTGTTGTCTTCACGCCGTCGGCGTGGACACTTTTTGTCCGTGCATCGTCACACGCGTTTTCTGAGTATTGTATCGGCTACAAAATGGGTTCACCCCGGAATCATGTTTCGTCGACGCTTCAAAGTGTATCCAGGGTGTCCGCGAGCCTACGAAGAGCATATCATTCGCCGAAAGATCATTCTGAGGGGAAGCAGCGCTGTAGTCGAACCCCAGGCTCGAGTTTTGAAACTCCATCCTCGAGCCCTGCTGAGACGCCTCTGTCCCACGAGTGGGCCACGCGGCAGCTCTCCGGGAGACAGCTGCAGCCGCAGGTCAGACTGCGCGGTGCAGTCGCCGTTCGCTCCACGCCACCCTTTTGCTTGCGTCGAACCTCGGCCCTCGACGCGGCGGCCGAGCGACCCGCGGGAGCGAGTCCGACCGCCCTCTCCTCCTCCTCCTCCTCCTCCTCCTCCCTCCCTCCCTCCCTCCCTCCCCTCCTCCCCCCCCTCCCTCCCTCCCTCCCTCCCTCCCTCCCTCCCTCCCTCCCTCCCTCCCTCCTCCTCCTCCTCCTCCTCCTCCTCCTCCTCCTCCTCCTCCTCCTCCTCCTCCTCCTCCTCCTCTTCGCCCCAGCAGGATGAGGAAGCTGGTGCCCAGGAGCTGGGTCGAACGCTCCAGGCCCGCACGTTGCGATAATCAGGGCATCGGTCGGGCCTGTCCCTCTACAGGAGGAACATTCCCAAATAGTAAGAAAATAGTATGGGGACTTTTTTGGGGCGTATTTTCTGACTATTTTGATACTTTTTGAGAATTGTATTTTTATTCGCCCGAAATCCGCCTATGCCCAACCTAAAGTTGGGTCGAAAGCTCCAGGCCCGCATATTGCAAGAACCAGGGCATCGGAGGTCTGGGGCACTGGTGCTGCTCACTGGCGGCTCGTGGGCGTCGGGGGAGCCACCGAAGCTTCGCCGAGACGCGCGGAAGCCTCTGCTGTACTCCTCTCCCTCACTCGCTTCACCCCCCCCCTCTCCCTCCTCGGTCGTGCCGTGGCACACGCTCTCCTGCGCTGGCTTTTGACGTCCCACCCACCTCCAGCGTCGGTTCCAAGGAGGAGGAGAAGGAGGATGAGGAGGAGGAGGAGGAGGAGGAGGAGGAGGAGGAAAAAGGAAGGAGGAGAGGGGAAGGCTACTGCCGAATTTCGGAGCTCTCACGCGCTCGCCGTGGATGAAGGTTGACTCTGTCCGTGGAGGTGGAGCGCGGAGGTTGGAGTCCTGAGCAGCGCCTGCACCAGCAGTGCAGCTGGGGCGGTCGCAGGGACCCGGGGGCGCCATGTTCGCTCCGCCCACTGCTCGTACTCGGGCTACGGTCAGGAACTTGAGCCTCGCGTGTCGCGCCGCCTGCTCTGGCCCACCAAGCTTTGGCGCGACGCGCTATCCGTGTCCCCACGCCCAGAGGCCAGCGTTAAGTCGGGCCTGTCCTCCTACAGGGGGATTTTCGACGAAAACTAAACAAATACCCCAACAATAATCCAAACATAGTCCAAACATAGTCTTGGGACTATTTTGTAAGTATTTGACCTTTTTGGAATGTTTTGGGGGTACTTTTTTAATTTTTCGTCGAAAATCCCCCTGTAGGGGGACACGCCCGACATAAGGCCAGCGCCCCGAGCTTCCCTGAGCCTCCCGCCAGCCGCCGGGCGGAGCGACGCGCCGCCCGCTCCGCCAGGCGCAGCGTGCCGCCAGGGCCGCCGCCGCTGCGCGCCGTGCGCAGAGTTCCCGACCGCAGGACCGAAGGCGCCCCGCCCCCCCCCCGCCCGCAGGGGGTCCGGCGGTGGTCGCGCTGGGCTTTTGGGCGGGCTTCACTTCAGTCCCCGACTGAGAGTTGGGTATGCTCTGCACAGGCGGCGGATTCAAAGCGCTTTGGCTTTCACGCCGGATGATCTGATTAATACTGAATGATTTGATGATGATTTCAAACCGTCATGGAATGAATGCAAAGATCAATTTAAATATTCGTCATTATTTGATGGGCCCGAGCCCGAGGCCTGTCCCTCCTCCAGGCAGCGGGCGGCGCGAGGGCGCGAGGGCGCGGCGCCGCGCCGCCGCGCGGGCGCGCGGAGCGCGGGGCGCCCCTGCGGCAGGTGGCGCCCTGGGTGTAAGTCGGGCCTGTCCCTCTACAGGAGAACCAAAGATAGTCAAAACATAGCATGGGGACAATTTTCAAAAATTATTGTTAGGGTATTTTTGAGCCTTGTTTGATTTCCATGTTTCGTTCAAAATCCGCCTGTAGGAGGACACGCCCGACCTAAGCCCAGGTCTTCGCCGCAGCCGCTGCTCGTCCCTGGGCCTCCGCAGTCTGGATGGTTGCGGTCGGGAACTCGGGGGTGCAGTCAACCCGCGTAGGATGAGCAGCTTTCCAAGGCTGCCCTTGCATCCTTGCCTCTTAGACCCATCCTTGGCGACTTTCGCTGGCCAGCCTCGTTCGAAAAGCGTCAGCATGGCCCTTCAAGGCCCCTGCATCCTCACCGCGCATCCTTGCCATACGGGTTGCCTGTAGCGTGTCGCTCCGTCAGTTCAGGCCCACCGGGCTTCGCCGCGACACGCTGTCCACTTCTGGGGGCCCCCTTGGCGTCCACGTTCCGAGCTTCTCCTAGCCTCCCGCCCCGCGGAGCGGAGCGACGCGCTGTCCGCTCGGTGTCGCCGGGGCCGCCGCGGCGACGCGCGCAGCAGCAGCTCCCGACCGTGTGCAGCGGCGGCATCGCCACGATGGCGTGGCGGCTCCTGCTGCTCCTCGTGGCGGCCCGCGCGGCAGAGCCTTGGACGCGGGCGCCCGCGTCGGTCGCTGGCGCCGCGGGGAAGCTCGCGCAGCCCTCGGTGAGGCCGCCCGTGTACACCGTCGATCTGGCGCTTCCCGCCGAGCAGCGGTGGGCGCACATCGCGGAGGCCTACAGGTCGAAGGTGCCGGACATCGTCGCGTACTTCGAGGCGGTGGTGCCCAGGTGGGCAATGCCGCTAGTGGAGGCCGTCGGCGCCAGGATGGGGGGCTACTTCCACCTGTACGGCGGGGAGATGGCCGGCTTGGCAGAGGCCCTCGGAGCGAGTCCAGGGCTTATTGTGCTGATGAACCTCGTGTACCAGCTGGAAGGCCTCGGCTTGAACTGCTCCACGTGGAACGTTACGGGTCCGACGCGAAAGGACGACCCTGGCTGCGTGGACGTCGACCCTGGCCAGGAGTGGTGCTACTGCCACAGTGCTCACGCTGCGGGCGCCATGCAGTCACACGATGGTTTCACCTACCTGAGCCGTAAGCTTGACGAGGCGGATGGCCCCGGGATGTGCACATCAATCGTTGCGCAGGCCACTGACGGCACCATCATCCACGGTCGCAACCTCGACTGGAACTTGCCGGCGGTGATGCGCTCGTTGGTGGTAGACGTCGATTTCGTCAACACGAGCAAGAGCGCCGACACGCTCTTTCGAATGACCACGGCCGTCGGCTTCGTCGGCGGCTTCAATGGGATGGCCTACCGCGGGCGGGGCGGCGATGGCTGGTCGGTCACTATCGACGCACGCGGCAAAGGCGGCAAGCCACTGGACAACCTGCTGCAGGCGTTGCGCGTGCACTCGCTGACGCCGTGCCAGCACCTGCGCCATGTTCTTGAGAGGACGAGCGACTTCGAGCAAGGCATCTCGGCGCTCAGCACCACGCCGCTGATCGACGAGATGTACTACATTGTCGCTGGCACCAAGGCGGCGGAGGGCGCGGTCGTGACGCGGGGCCGCGAGAAGGCAGTCGACGTGTGGCGGCTCAATCCGAGCGAACCAGACGGCTGGTTCCGCCTGCAGACCAACTACGACCATTGGAATCCCGTGCCTGCGGCAGACGACCGGCGGAACCCCGGCATTGCGATGATGAAGGCCACGGGCCAGGCGGGGCTCAGCACCGCGTCGATGTGGCACGTCATCACGTCCTTCCCCGTGTTCAACCACCACACGGACATCTCCCTCATCGCCATGCCGCAGAAGCAGATCTTCAACGTGACTGTCTGGATGGGCGGCGAGCATTGA